TATGATCAGGACGAGCGAATCTCTTCCAACACACTGGGGATAGGTTGGATTAGGTTGCCTTTATATTATGTACGGCTAGATGACTAGGGTCTAAGACCTGGGAAAATGTTCGCGCCTCTCTACGTCATCGCTACTCTTTACGTAAACCTAAATGCAACCTAATCCAACCTATCCTATAGAGTCCTAACCTAACCTAACCAACATAAGACACAACATTTTGTGTTTTATATATATATATGGGATTTATAATATAATGATATATATATAATGTATGTATATATATATAATATATATATAATGTAATGATATATAATGATATATATATAATGTAATGATATATAATGATATATATAATAATGATATATATATATATATATGGGATTCATAAAGTGTGTGGCGTCAATTTGACGTCATAATTTTAATTCCGGTTCAGGTTTTGGATGTTACCGTGATGGGCAAGATGTTGCTGGGGGGTCTGTGATGGGGTGGAGGGGAGGAGGGGAGAGGGGGAAGGGAGTGGGGGAGGGGGAGAGGGGGAGGGGGAGTTATCAGGGGAAATCGCCAAACCCTTACGACTATATAGCACTGTGAAGGGGGTCACATGGGGGGGAAAGACGGGAAAGAGGGGTGGCAGAGGGGACATTATGGGGCTGGTAGACCCGGGTGTGGAAGCACCGTACACGATACTCCCCCCATTTTTTTACTCGATACTCACAGTAATTTACGTTCATTGAACAGCAAAACAATTTTTTTTCGCTCGGGAAATGACAAATACAAGTAAGTAATGACATTACCCTCGCCAGGTCTCACTTCCCCCCCCCCCCTCACACAGGTCGTTTGCCACTCGAACCACAGTTCAGGCCCCGTCACAGACGGCAAACACCCCTTGTTATGGAGATCTGTGTCCACTGTGAAGCTCTTCACGGTGCTTTACGGTGCTTGGGTAACCACTTCCTCTTTCTCTCGAGTCGTCTTTGGATGTCTGTAACGACACCTATTGAGCCTTGGTCTGATCAACGCACCTTAGCATTATACGCCTTGGATAGCCGTGCTATCCTGGCGACCCAGGTTCGAATCTTCGAGGGGGAGGGTCATTGAACTTACTATAATAATCATTTTGATTGATCAAAAAACATGTACAGAATAACAAGGTACAGTGGTTGAATAGGTGTTATATAATATGCAAAGCATTTCGGTTATATAATATAAAATTTGGGTTTGTGTTAAATTCTTGCAAACGTGTAGTCATATATAGCATCATGATAACAGGTGTGCGTGTGTGTCTGTGACAGATGTGTACACATGACGGATTAATTATACCAAAACTTGTATTACACTGAGAAAAAAAACACGTTTTTTTAAAACAAAAAAACAATATCCCTGATAAAACAATTAAATCTTCAAAGCAAACTCAAGGGACTCAAACTTCAACCACGTAAAAGAAAAACAAAACCCAAGCAACTCAAAAAAAAATCCCCAGACAGCTTTTATTCCCTGGCCAGACTAGGGAATAAATATACTCGTATACTCTTAACGACTCGGCGGGGAATAATGTCCCTGCTGCTAGTCTTTTTTTTCCCCTTTTTTTCTTCCAAGTTATCTTTAAGTTTCGTAAATGATGCTAAAAAGTGTTTTAAGGTGTGAGGATCACCGCTAATGACATGCATGTTGGGTTGGGTTACCCCGTGAAGCTGTGTTTGTCTGTCACCTTTTGGAGTGTCTTCCTGTAGCTGAGCAAGGGAGAGGAGGAAGGGAGGGAGAGAAAGAAGAAAGATAGAAGTGGAGGGAGAGAAGGAGGAAAGATAGAAGAGGGACGAGGATTAAGAGAGAGAGAGAGAGAGAGAGAGACAGAGACAGAGACAGAGAGAGTGGTAGAGACAGAGAGAGAGAGAGACAGAGAGAGAGACAAAGAGAAAGAGAGAGAAACAGAAAGAGAGAAAGAGAGAGACAAAGAGAAAGAGAGAGAGAGAAACAGAAAGAGAGAGAGAGACAGAGAAACGTGTTCAAATGCGAGGCAAGTACTTAACACTAAGTAAGCTTATTTACGATACTGACGCACTCACGATAGCCACACACTCACGACAGACACACACTCACGACAGACACACACTCACTGAGTAATACAAACATACACTGATATGATGCGAAGCTCCAGCTGGGAATGTTTACTGCTGCCTTGTTTGGTTAAGATAAATGCTGCAGTTAACAGTGGAAGCCCATCCAATATTGAAGAGAATGGGAGAGAGGGAGGGAGAGAGGAAGGATGGATGGAAGAGGTGACACGGATAATATTAGTGTTTGTGTACTGGAGTAGTTTTAAAATGTATTCTGTGTCCACTGGGCGTAGATGTTTGAGTAGTTGGTATTCATAGTGTTGGTATCCAGTTGTCGTATTGGGAGGTTATCTTGAGATGATTTCGGGGCTTTTAATGTCCCCGCGGCCCGGTCCTCGACCAGGCCTCCACCCCCAGGAAGCAGCCCGTGACAGCTGACTAACACCCAGGTACCTAATTTACTACTGGGAGGATACATAGTGTGATGTGTTCGTATTGCATTATTAGTTATTTGTTGTCTGTCAACTGTATTGATTGGCAATTGTTGTTGTTGTTGTTTTAGATTTAGCTACTCAGAACAAAATGTTCCAAGTAGCACGGGCTATGGTGAGCCCGTAGTGGACTACCTGGCACAGGAGCGGGGCAAGTAGCACGGGTTGTGGTGAGCCCGTAGTGGACTACCTGGCACAGGAGCGGGGCAAGTAGCACGGGTTGTGGTGAGCCCGTAGTGGACTACCTGGCACAGGAGCGGGGCAAGTAGCACGGGTTGTGGTGAGCCCGTAGTGGACTTACCTGGCACAGGAGCGGGGCAAGTAGCACGGCTTGTGGTGAGTCCGTAGTGGACTACCTGGCACAGGAGCGGGGCAAGTAGCACGGGTTGTGGTGAGCCCGTAGTGGACTTACCTGGCACAGGAGCGGGGCAAGTAGCACGGGTTGTGGTGAGCCCGTAGTGGACTTACTTGGCACAGGAGCGGGGCAAGTAGCACGGCTTGTGGTGAGCCCGTAGTGGACTTACCTGGCACAGGAGCGGGACAAGTAGCACGGGCTATGGTGAGTCCGTAGTGGACTACCTGGCACAGGAGCGGGGCAAGTAGCATGGGCTATGGTGAGCCCGTAGTGGACTTACCTGGCACAGGAGCGGGACAAGTAGCACGGGCTATGGTGAGTCCGTAGTGGACTACCTGGCACAGGAGCGGGGCAAGTAGCACGGGCTATGGTGAGCCTGTAGTGAACTTACCTGGCACAGGAGCGGGGCAAGTAGCACGGGCTATGGTGAGCCCGTAGTGGACTTACCTGGCACAGGAGCGGGGCAAGTAGCACGGGCTATGGTGAGCCTGTAGTGAACTTACCTGGCACAGGAGCGAGGCTGTAAATGTTGATTGGCAATCAATCAGGTGTTTACATGTGCCTGACCCCACCTCCAGTCTCCCCCTCCTTTCCCAGCGTTCTTCTAAGGGTCAACTGTCTGAGCTGATAAGATGCGACAGGCATTTAATTTTAACGAGAGTTATATGAAGAAGCAAAAGAGGGGGGGCTGAAAGTAATTATTTTAATCGACCAACAGATGGAAATCCGAGCCCAAAGTTTGAAGCTCAGTCTTGGAAACTCTTGTTAATTAACAACCATTCTCTCCTACATAAGCTTCTCTTCCATGCTGTCATTCATCTGCCTTTCCAAACAAGAATAAGCAAGGAACTCACACAACATCCATACACAACTTATCCTCTTTGAACACGCAAATGGAGTTCAGTATTTCTCTGGTAAAATTTTCGGGCGTTTATTTATGGGAGCAACGAGACGGGGAACTTGGAAGAATCTATTTATAAATAGTTGTTTACGAATAAATGTTTTAAATATATTTTTAAGATTAAAATAAATGTTATTAATTGTCTACTGACATCTTTTCTGCTCATTTAAAATAGTTTGTACTAATGATAAAAATATAAATTAAATATATAGATCTACAAGATTTCATTAAAATAAAGCTGAAAATGTCAACTTTTTATCTTACAATAAAACCGGATCAAATGTAAAGCTTGTTATATAAAGGTCTCATAAAAGCGCCAGCGGTCACCTGTAGACCCCACACACCCCACCCACCCACACACACCCTACCCACCCACACACACACCCCACCCACACACACCCCACCCACACACACCCCACCCACACAAACACCCCCACCCACCCCACCCACACACACACACCTCACCCACACACACACACCCCACCCACACAAACACCCCCACCCACCTCACCCACACACACACACCTCACCCACACACACACACACTTCACCCACACACACCCACCCCCACATCCCACCCACCCCCACCCCTACTGCTGCATTGTACATCTCAGAATACCCATCTCAAAGCATCCTTGCAAGATCAATATGAGAATATTCATTACAAAATCTCCAAACGACAATATTGATCATGGAAGATCCTGACTATATGTATAAAATCTAAAAATCTATTTTGAAATTTAATAACTTAGTTCGAAAGGAAAGTTAAACATAGAAAAATACGGAAGGTAAAAACTAGAAAACGGAAAAAAAGTGTAAAGAGAACTAAGGGGGAAACTAAAAAAAAAAATCCAACCTTTGCTAACGAAGGCCTAACCTATTCCTTGGTTAAACCTACAATAGTTAAGCCTTTATTTTGGTTGACGTACCCCCTACTTCTGGACATATTCTCGTTTTCTTTCCTAAGTTTAGGACGTAATTGTTTAGTTATAAAATATTCTTTTTGATAAGTATATCAAAGAGGTGCCCAGGCGTGGGAATGGGGTAAGGAACCATGCTAAGATTTCTTGTGTAACTTTTCTTGACAAAGTTCCCGCCCTTCCTGACGTGGAGAGAGACCAGGTTAATAATTAAGGCACTAGGAGGACAGGCCGGGAGACATCGGTTAAATGGGAACAAAACACCATTGAGTAAAATAGTCATTCCTCCTGCCTCGTCAGGTTTTGATGTGGCTCCACCGCCCTGAGCCCTTGCTGCCTCATGTCCCTGACTTCTTGCTGCCTCATGTCCCTGACTTCTTGCTGCCTCATGTCCCTGACTTCTTGCTGCCTCATCTCCCTGACTTCTTGCTGCCTCATCTCCCTGACTTCTTGCTGCCTCATGTCCCTGACTTCTTGCTGCCTCATGTCCCTGACTTCTTGCTGCCTCATCTCCCTGACTTCTTGCTGCCTCATCTCCCTGACTTCTTGCTGCCTCATGTCCCTGACTTCTTGCTGCCTCATGTCCCTGACTTCTTGCTGCCTCATGTCCCTGACTTCTTGCTGCCTCATGTCCCTGACTTCTTGCTGCCTCATCTCCCTGACTTCTTGCTGCCTCATCTCCCTGACTTCTTGCTGCCTCATCTCCCTGACTTCTTGCTGCCTCATCTCCCTGACTTCTTGCTGACTCATGTCCCTGACTTCTTGCTGCCTCATCTCCCTGACTTCTTGCTGCCTCATCTCCCTGAGTCCTTGCTGCCTCATCTCCCTGAGTCCTTGCTGCCTCATCTCCCTGAGTCCTTGCTGCCTCATCTCCCTGAGTCCTTGCTGCCTCATCTCCCTGAGTCCTTGCTGCCTCATCTCCCTGAGTCCTTGCTGCCTCATCTCCCTGAGTCCTTGCTGCCTCATCTCCCTGAGTCCTTGCTGCCTCATCTCCCTGAGTCCTTGCTGCCTCATCTCCCTGAGTCCTTGCTGCCTCATCTCCCTGAGTCCTTGCTGCCTCATCTCCCTGAGTCCTTGCTGCCTCATCTCCCTGAGTCCTTGCTGCCTCATCTCCCTGAGTCCTTGCTGCCTCATCTCCCTGAGCCCTCGCTGCCTCACCTCCCTGACCTCTCGCTGCCTCATCTCGACTTATGGTTACTGTTGGACTTGTACACAGACTTGACTGCACTCTGTATAAGACTTTTCACTACTAGACTTATATTTAAGACATTCCTCTGCTGGACTTTACACAGTTCTTTTTAACGAAACGTCGTTCAACAGAAGTCTTCAGTGTCTTGTGTTGTTCTTTATATTACCGAATATAAACAGCACCCAAACGAGAGAGATAGATGCACGTGCTCTCAGTAAATGATTTAAACTGGTGTTTTAGGGTTCAATTAAGCACACACACACACACACATCTTAAGGGGCCTCGCGGCTGAGTGGACAGCGCTCGGGAGTCGCAGTACCAAGGGGCCCTGGGTTCGATCCCCGCCGGAGGCGGAAACAAATGGGCAGAGCTTCATTCACCCTGATGCATCTGTTCACCTAGCAGTAAATAGGTACCTTGGAGTTAGACAGCTGCTACGGGCTGCTCCCTGGGAATGTGTGTGTGTGTGAGTGTCTTAGACATATATAGTAGACATAATAGGGGAAAATAAATTGTTTAGAAAGGCGGGGTCCAAGAGCTATTATCTCGATTCTGCAGATACAAATAGTAAAACACGCGAATAGGTTCAGGAATCTGTTCGCCAGTTAATTTTGACGGTTAAGAGGCGGGACCAAAGAGCCAAAGTTCAATCCCCCCGCAAGCACATTGAGGTGAGTACACACACAAACTCCCTCGATCACACGCACGCACGGAAGACGGTAACACGTGCGTGCGAACACACACACACACACACACACACACACACACACACACGCAAATTATGCACAATATATATATATATATATATATATATATATATATATATATATATATATATATATATATATATATATATATATATATATATATATATATATATATACAATCTTTGGACAACACCCACCAGTGGGACTCGAACCCAGAAAGCACAACTACCTTCCAGTAGCTGGCATAACTAGTATGCTTTAACCCACTACGCCATCAGACCTTACAAAAGAAGTAGATAGTTCGAGATATATATATCTCAAACATCTCTACCTCCCGAAGGCACCAGATGAGTGAGGGGTCAGTCTGCAATTTTCGTCAAGCCACTGTCAATGTGAGAGAACTCGTGTCCAGCTTATAAGCCTATACTTGCATAAACCACAAGTGAAGATAAACAATCTTTGGACAACACCCACCAGTGGGACTCGAACCCAGAAAGCACAACTACCTTCCAGTAGCTGGCATAACTAGTATGCTTTAACCCACTACGCCATCAGACCTTACAAAAGAAGTAGATAGTTCGAGATATATATATCTCAAACATCTCTACCTCCCGAAGGCACCAGATGAGTGAGGGGTCAGTCTGCAATTTTCGTCAAGCCACTGTCAATGTGAGAGAACTCGTGTCCAGCTTATAAGCCTATACTTGCATAAACCACAAGTGAAGATAAACAATCTTTGGACAACACCAAATATTGTTGACTCACATTGACAGTGGCTTGACGAAAATTGCAGACTGACCCCTCACTCATCTGGTGCCTTCGGGAGGTAGAGATGTTTGAGATATATATATCTCGAACTATCTACTTCTTTTGTAAGGTCTGATGGCGTAGTGGGTTAAAGCATACTAGTTATGCCAGCTACTGGAAGGTAGTTGTGCTTTCTGGGTTCGAGTCCCACTGGTGGGTGTTGTCCAAAGATTGTTTATCTTCACTTGTGGTTTATGCAAGTATAGGCTTATATATATATATATATATATATATGTCGTACCTAGTAGCCAGAACGCACTTATCGGCCTACTATGCAAGGCCCGATTTGCCTAATAAGTCAACTTTTCCTGAATTAATATATTTTCTCTAATTTTTTTCTTTTGAAATGATAAATCTACCCATTTCATTATGTATGAGGTCAATTTTTTTTTATTGGAGTTTATATTAACGTAGATATATGACCAAACCTAACCAACCCTACCTAACCTAACCTATCTCAATAGGTTAGGTTAGGTTAGGTAGCCGAAAAAGTTAGGTTAGGTTAGGTTAGGTAGTCGAAAAACAATTAATTCATGAAAACTTGGCTTATTAGGCAAACTGGGCCTTGCATAGTAGGCTGAGAAGTGAGTTCTGGCTACTAGGTACGACATATATATATATATATATATATATATATATATATATATATATATATATATATATATATATATATATGCATGGTTCAATAAACTGAATAATTTTTCGAAGCTGTCAATTCCACTCCTTTTTTCCAATTTCACGCGCATCAGTTCCACTGTGATCGGCCCCTCTGTTTTCCTGTGTCATAACCCCGTGCCAAGTTACCTGAGTGGCACTCACTGACACGTGGCACCTGCTCGTGTCACTCCAATACTCTCATATGCTTGGGGGGAGGTCTTAAGCTTTTTCTATTTTGTGATACACGGTCATGTTGTTTCATATTGCCGTTCGTTGTTTCATGTTGCCTCATGTCGTCTCATGTTGAGTCATGACGTCTCAGGCTGCCTCATGTCGTTTCATGTTGAGTCATGACGTCTCATGTTGCCTCATGTCGTCTCATGTTGAGCCATGACGTCTCAGGCTGCCTCATGTCGTTTCATGTTGAGTCATGACGTCTCATGTTGCCTCATGTCGTCTCATGTTGAGCCATGACGTCTCAGGCTGCCTCATGTCGTCTTATGTTGCCTTATGTCGTTTCATGTTGCCTCATGTCATCTCATGTTGATTCATGACGTCTCAGGCTGACGCATGTCGTCTCATGTTGCCTCATGTCGTCTCATGTTGCCTCATGTCGTCTCATGTTGTCTCATATCATCTCAATTTGCTTCATGTTGCCTCATGATGCGTTTCTACTCTTTTGAGAGTCGTACGGCAAACTAGACTATAATTTAAATGATATCTGAATTTTTTCATGTGTTTTAGGTTGGTAATTATTTTATTATGTTCGTAATTGTAATTAAAAAAAAATGTTGTGATAATTATGCTAAACGCTGATGGTACATCTAATAAAGTTCTTACTGTAAGCTTCGCGCAGCTCTCCCGACCAATAGTCATGTACCACGTGGCATTTTGAGATTGGTGGAGCGTTAAGATCGACCAATCGGAGAGGCCAGCGAAGGTAATGGTGCGGCGCTATTGGTCTAAATGCCCTTTGACTGCTCACGCTAGAGAACTTACTCTAATGGCCACAAATATACTTCATAATCTGCATCTGGAAAAATTCGAGTGACTGGTTCACGCTGAAACTGTTTCGAGACTGGGAAGCTCGAGATAATGTGCTTAAAATTTGAGTCAATAAGAGTCAATAGAGTCAATAAGTTCTATAGATTCGAGAAGACAATTCTATGAACAGTGAGGGCCCCTAGGATTTTCAACATCTTTCTATTACATACAGTGGGCATTAGTAACAGATGCTCACTGTCTGCTCTCTTTCAAGAGAGAGAGCTTGAGAGAGTCCTCTATAGGGTACTTGATCAGCAGGGCTGTGGTCCCTACGTCGAAATGCTTGCCTCGGCGTCCAACAGTCTGGTCAATCAGACCATCATCCAGGAGACCTATTCCAATCTCAGGCAACAGGGACACTTTTTCATGGAAGAGAGACGGGAACTATCAGGAGGAAGTGCCAAGTTATTACGACTATATAGCACTTGGAAGGGATCAGGATAAGGATTTGGGACGGGACGAAGGAGAAGGAATGGTGCCTAACGACTTGAACGATCGGGGATTGAACGCCGACCTGCATGAAGCGAGACATCTAAGTATACTCCAAGTATAGCAGCGGTATATTTGGCAGAATTAAACCGAATTTTGCATCTTGGATCACAGAGAATAACCTTCAAACTGAGAGGAAAGCGTCCAAGAGCTTTTAGGACCAAGCGTTTGATGTATAAATGAGGTGGTCGCCTGGGCGGTGGACTGCGTGTGGACATTCGAACCGACGCTTCTGCAAGGTCTGTAAGGAACAGAAATAGCAGAATACTAGAATCGCAGGAACTAGTATCAAATAGTTTACAAGGGAGCGGGACCTCAACCAACGCCTAGTGTCTTGGTTGACGTCCAGCAACGGTCTATGTGAGAGCAACGGTTATAGTTATCTTCGTGTGAAGTAGTCAGTCCAACGCCACAAAGTCCACAACACCGAGGACCCTCATCCCTCTATCCCTTTACCGCGCTCAACCACAAAGTCCAGCACCGGTGGAAGTTGCCTTTGACGAGGATTATCGTACCAGGAGATGGCTGTGCTCGTTTCACATTGTCGCCCGGTATATTTACCGTCATGCCTCGACCTTCCAGGAAGAGCGAGCAGTATGCCTGATGTTGACCAGACCACACACTAGAAGGTGAAGGGACGACGACGTTTCGGTCCGTCCTGGACCATTCTCAAGTCGATTGTCGACTTGAGAATGGTCCAAGACGGACCGAAACGTCGTCGTCCCTTCCCTTTCTAGTGTGTGGTCTGGTCAACATATTTCAGCCACGTTATTGTGACTACTCATCTGCAACTAGCGGATGTGTTCATTACATTCCTTTGTAACTACACTAGTTCACAGTGGTTTATACAGTCGTATATTACTTGCCTCATAAGCCATTGGGGCAATTTTTGCTTAATGTTGTGAGTTATAATGAGTTAATGACACAATCATTTCTGTATATTTACCTTGATAATGTCTATTTCTGACAGTGAGACTTTTTCACGCGTTTTGATTAATATTTAGTTGCACATTGCAGCTCAAAATGCTTAGTGTGTTTACGTAAATTTCATGCCAATGATAATTTTACATTTGAGAGTTATTTACACTTTAAATTACTTGCTTGTTTCGCCTCGTGTAACGCAAGAAGTTATATTTCAAAATGACTATTTTAATTCAAATTATGTAACCCGGATGCCTGTCTTAACTGATAATTATGTAACCCGTATGCCTGTCTTAACTGATAATTATGTAACCCGTATGCCTCTCTTAACTGATAATTATGTAACCCGTATGCCTGTCTTAACTGAT